GACATTGTAAATCACTCACTTCTCGAGGTTTCTCTACGACATACGTCCTTCTCCAAGTGTTGTAGGGAACGGAGTCACCATGATCGGACACTTCGGAAAGCGCCGATATAGGCCTTGTCTCGTAAACCCGTACTCGATGTGGGTCCGACATGGAATCCTGAAAAAACCCTCGAAAATGGACTGAAATCTCAGGGATGTGTCACCATCACATCGAATTGTTAAAACCATTCAGAAGTAAAGCGGCTTTTCGGCTCTCTCCTGATGACAAGAAGTGCAGCGATATGATAATGAGTACAGGGGTAACAACTAAAATCCTGGGAAAAAAACTAACCGGCGATTGATAGTCTGGGGCTGGAGATTGCCCAAAGTGACCACCGTAAGGGTTATGGTCGACGTCGATAAAGGGAACTGGCGACACAACACCATGACGCTGCTCGTACAGACGTTGCTGTTGGATTTGCATTGCTCGCATCTGAGCAATCAATCAATAATAATCGATATGAGACAGATCAAAAAATTCATTTTGTTGAAAATAAATATATCATTTTGTAGCCTGTTAGGGAAACACGAGAAATTATGTGGTTTTCATACCTTGTTCACCCTCTCGCCTACCAAAGCGAAAAAATCAATAGTCAAAATAAACTGAAATATAGATCTACTTCTCCCGACTACAACTATTCTGATTCACGAAGCTGTAAACAAATTAACTACAAGTGGACCCAGCAGGACCCCGGCCAACAGGTTACACACCATCGACACGCCAATCTACTCATTCCATATCTCATTGATGGAGAGGGTGTGGCAACATCATTATTACGAATGTGGCAGCAGCTGCGACTCTGGTGTGAAGCTGTGCTTTCGGACAATTACTATAATAACGTTTTCGTCGAGCGCAAGATAGAATGACAGCTACCTCGAGTGAAATATCCCAAAACGTATCCAACGCCATGTTCAGATGAAGAACAGCACCACGCCCCTTTCCCCCCACAGAGAAATGGTGGGTACATACCACAAGGTGGATCGCACCAACCTGCTTCGTCATTGCCATCAATTTCTCTTCCTCATGCCTTCGCATGGCTTCTTCTTCCATTTGCTTCTGACGACGGTACTCCTCTATCCGATCGGGATCTGAAAAGGCATCTCTTGTTTGTCGCGTTTCAGAGCAAGTATCAGACTTCCACACACATGTTGCTTTTAGGACCCCTTCATTGGGCCGTGTCTCAAATAACAGAGACTACGGGGCAAGACAAGAGAAAGAAACGGGTGAACGGTTCATTCCCATGAGGTCCGCGCCGGTCCAATTCGCCAGTAGAGCAATCTGATTTGCGCTATTTTGAATCGTATGTGCTTAGAGTTCCTTACGGAACGAAAGTCTCTCCAGGAGTCGGCGACTAGGAAAGTATAGATATCGATCCAGCGTCTGGCAGCTTCTGCCAGCGTTCTCCAGCGCCTGCCAGAGTCTCGAGGGCTAGGGAAGCATAGGTGTCGATCTAGCGTCTGCCTGCGTCCACCAGCGTTCACCAGCGACCGGAACTGGAGAGTAGGACTATCTACTCCTGGACGGGCGCTAGTGGACGCTGATAGACGCTGGAGGGTGCTGCCGCAGTGTGAACCTAATCGCCTTGCGAAGTATGAACGAGGCTTTAGAGATGCATACAAGTGTGGGCCGCTAGTTCCTAGCTATCAGGGTATTTCCTAGCTAGTTGACTAGAGAAGCATAGACACCAAGAAAGCTAGTTAACTAAGTTACACAGACGCACCACTGCTTCAGTGGATTGGGTCCTGGTGCGAATGCTGCGTACGTCACCCCGCGTGCACGTTTATTTTGCCGCACGGTACATAGAAATAACGCTCCACACTCACTTGGACCCAAATTACATTTGGGGAGAGTAGGCGAAATGTAGCTACAGCTGTGTACAGTAGAGGAGAAAGATGACGGAGCAGCGATATCTTACGGACGCATTGCTTTAATAACTCAAAAAGTACATTCAAAGAGTTCACCAGTGATCTTCCTGGACATGACCGAATGAGATCGAGGCGTTTTCTTGTCGTTCAATGGAGGCCAAATCACAACCGTTGCATCCTGAAATTTCTTCTGACATTT